GATGATGTCAGACAATCACAAAAAAAAAGAAAATGTGACTATAAGAAAAGTGTGAATATAAAAAAGGTGACTATATATTATCAAATTTCATATGCAAGAATTAATAAATTTTTAATCAGGTTTTCAAACAATTTTCATTAATATGCATGCATAGTAAATTAATTAATGAATTTTGTATGTCTCAATAATGATTAAATATGTTTAACTTTTTAAAGTTCGTGTTATTTAATTTTTAATGATTTAGACTATTTAACAGAATGGAAAAAATTAATTGGTTTCAAAATGATTTTATAATATCTGAGACTTTTCCAAAAACATTTATAAGGATTTGGACATTTTAATATGGGTAAAAAAGTGGAGTTCTTAAAAAATTTTTGTTACACGAGAAATATCATAAGGACATGAGAAAAAAAAATATTCACGCGCTCAATATATTGAAAATTTTTTCCTTAAAAAGCAAAAAAGAAGCAATGTTTTTGAGCAAATCTTTCTCATCGTACCATATACTTCAAATACAAAATATGACCAAGTAAAATTTTCGTTTCTTTTTCGTAGCCCTTTAATAAAACAAATAGTACTCATAATGAACCGCTCCCACCTTTAATAAATCTGGCACGGCTTTTTTTTTTTGTTCAGTGAGAGACTGTCTTTTAATAACTTTGCTTTTGATGTACCTGATTTCTGATTTCAATTCTTAAACTGCTTATTCAGATCCGTAGGATTTATTACCTTTCCACAAGACTATTTGACTTATATTTCATAATTAATTCCTTTTCCACTTCTTTTTCTAGAATTTAAATAGATGAGGATACTTGGAAACGAACTTTTTCCGTATCCTGGTTCTAGGTTTCTTCTTTCCTCCTTATTTCTCACGATAAATTACAACTCATATTGACAAGGAAAATAATGATTTGCTATATTAGCGTTAAACCTTAGTCAGCAATGAAGTGGGAAAATTTGGAAGAGGCAAATACGGTATAGATTGATTTGTTTTTCGTAATTTATCATTTTTTTTTTTTTTAATTTTCTTCTCGACGTAATGGGGTGTCCAACTTTGATTTTCAGTCTTCTTCAATTAGTTATAAGGGCCGGTACAACTGTAAGGGTCAGCGATTTCTGGCAGAGGAATTGCTATACATCTTCCCTTATAACTGCATCATTGAGTGGGTGCTCGCGCAACCTGAGTCCTGTTGGATACCCCCATCCTTAGACGTACGATAATCGACCGATCTTGTAAGTTGCCTAGTTTATATATTATATTTCTTATGACCTTTTTAGTCTTGTCATATGAGTTGTATAATATTACTCATATAATTAAAATAACAATTTGTGTTGATAAACATAATAAAGTTTGCCATGATTTTTAGGAAATTTATGAAGAATTAAACTAAAAGTCTCGCTTTAGATATCGCCAACTTGGAAAACTTATGGTAAAAAGGAGAATCTTATTTCATCCTTCTGTAAAATTTTAAGGTAATTATCCTTTGAATAATATCTTAATGTTGTTAATATTATTCCAATGAAAGCATATTTAGGGAATTCCTTCAAAATGGTAAAACGTTAAATGAAAATCATTATTCAACTTTGGATTGTCATAATGCTTGCTTCTTACAATAATTTTAACTATACTATAAGAACTAGATTAGACTCAAGTAGAAGCTAGATATGTTTATTTATTATAAAAGCTAATGCTGCCAGAGATACAGGCTTTCATTAGTCATAAACGACCACTCACATCCCCAACTTTCAGCTAAGCAATGAAATGGAAGCCTGGCATGATCTCCGCTATCTTGATATTCAATAATGAAAAATTTAAAAATCCGATTTAAATCACTCATGGTGTTACGCGTTGATGAAAAACATGAAGATGCTGCAAAGAGGGAAGGTTCATTAATGGCGAGTTCTATGTCGTCTTTGGACTTTAAGAGAAACTTTTGAAGAAACGTGGTATTATTGGCACTTTTAACAAATAACATTCGACTATGAAGGAACACTCATTCGAATAATACTTCATAAAGAAAAAGTGGTAATATGACAGAATACTTTTATATAGAGTAATTATTTTGGAGAAAGAAAAGAATAAGCAAATTTAGATCAAACGGTCATGACGCAAGCCGATTATCGTGAAAGAGCATGCAAATAATGCCATGTTATTCTTTTTATGTTGAATTTGACAAATTGCATGAGACATTTAAGTTTAAAGATTCTTACTGGATGCAAGTTAAGTGAAGGAGACGTAGTGGTATTTCTGCACTTTATTAATTTGTCGGTGTTGGCATATATTTTAAATTCAAGGAAAATAGGTAATTCTGCTTTTAATAGCACGAGAGGAATTACAGATCTCAATATCTTATTGGAGGAACTTTTCAAATGATCGAAATCTATCTATTGAAAGGTAATGGTTAAATAATTCTCTGCACAAGCTGGCTCAGCTCAGCTCGATTTATTATATAATACAACTCTAGTTGGCTCAGAGTTTTAAGTGTATCTTCCAAAGATTTTCTTTATTTGAGAAATGATTCGAAACTAATTCAATCACGAAAAAGCGAATTACACGATCAGAGATTAATGAATTATTCAAAAAAAAGTTTTTTTTTAAAAAATTAAAAATTAAAATAGATGATATATTTTCATTTTAGGTGATATTTCACCAGATTCTGTTCTTCTAGAAAGCACGGTAAGTTTTTAATTAATATTTTATTCTTCGCTAGATAACGTTTTTTTTTTTTTTATAAAAAGCAAACGAAAATTATGCTTAAATTCCAAATAATTTTTGAACAGATTTTAATGTTTTTGTAGTGGTTATCCATTCATTATGAAACCAGCAATATTCTCTTGATCTTATTATTGTTCACTATCCCAGAATTTTCATACTCCCAATCACCCTAAACACGAAATCCTTGATCATTCAACAAAATAATACTTGGATTTTAATAAGCATTTTGACACCAAGATTCTTTATGCTGAAATCAGCGATATTTGTATTCAAATTTTGAACATTTTTTCTTTTTATTATTGTAAAAAGATCATTTTAACAAAAAGTAATTGAAATAAAATTAATAAATTTTTTTTATATTTGCATTTATTGCTACGAATCCCAACATTTAATTTCGTTAGTATTATCTTAACAATCAGCGGAAATGTCATATCAGTTGTCGATCATTAATTAAATGATTTTGTGTAACATCAAAAGCAAACTTCGCTTCAAAGTAACATGACTTTGTACGAAATTAAACCATGTCCGAAAGAGTAAAAAAAATATATTTTGAAACATACTGTATATGTTTATTTCTTTAAAAATTATATCACTCTATTATTTAAACAACTTTCATTAAAGAGCCTTTTACCTTTTTTTTAGATATAAACTTTATGATTATCTTCGGAGTAGCAATTATTCTTTTTATTTAACCACCCAGAGATTCTTTTTGGGTCATACTGGTTATATTGATGATTTTATATTATATTCTTATATGTATCTTTTTCAGAAAATAAAAGTTTTTACTTTTATAAGCTTCAATATAAAGATTTCAAGTTGATAAATTTACGGGTTTAAAATGTAACAAATGAGACTATTTTTTCAAACTTTATTTACAATAATAAGCTACATTAATTTTTATTATTTTTGGATTTTTTATTACGATAATTCCACTATGCATATACTTTTTTCCTATCCCAATTATTTCCAAGCTGAAGTAATACATTTTCATACTCATATTCTGGAATTTTATCAGTATAAACTAGTAATTTTGATAAAATCTGCTCTTCATGTAATAATGCTCTTCGTCTTTTGGAAGGATGTATTTTAGAATTTAATTGGTTAGGTATTTCTGCTGAATCTATTTGTAATTGTGAATTGATATGAGATACTTTTTGCTTTTTTGTTGTTTTTGCTATATTTAGATATTCATGATGCTGTGTTCTTTTTACTCTAAGTGATCGTCTTCCAGTAGGATTACGTTTTTCAATTTTTAATACTTCTTGTAAGTATATTTTGTGAATTCATTCTAAACCATTAGAAAAACATGCAATAAGTTTTTCAGAAGGAGTATATTCATGAAAAATTGGATGTTCCAAGGGATTTTCCATATCAAAAATAACAACCAAATTATTCACTAATTTCCACAAAACTTCTTTTCTTGAATTAATAGCTCGTTGACTATGGGATACAGATATATCTTCAAAATATTCACTTAAAAGTAAGTCAATTCGTTCTCTTTCTAATTGAACTGCTTTAATATTTCTTTTAAAAATATCTTTATTAATGACATTACCAGTAACATTTTGTTTTATAAAGCGAACACCAAATGTTTCTAAAGTTTTGTCAAAAGCAAAACAAATATTTTATGATAAATCATTACCATTATTGGAAAGAAGTTTAAATGCGTCAATTTTACGTAAAGTCTGATTGAGTTTAGGATATTTAACCAAAGTAGAAAGATGATGGGCAATTGCAGTGATGTAATCATTTTTACCTACACTTGCATAGAGTGGAGCTGCTGATGCTAAGCAGTCTCGCTGCAAATCATGATTTCCAATTCTTATTCTAACTTTGTGAGCTTTCCATATTCCAGCTCATTGAAAATATAAATACCAGACTTTAAGAATTATATTTTGATCATTCTTGTCATCCATTATTGAATCTAAAGGTATTTCTTTTTTTTTATATAAATATTAATTGCAATTCCAATTGCTGTCCATAGAAGATCTAATACTCTTGATGTAGAATGATAATCAACATTTGCTTCTAATTTGTCAAAAAATTTGACTCCTAATTCACGTTGTGACGGGTAAAAATTTATGATAGATTTAATTGGTAGAATATGAAGTCTATTTTATTGCCATGTAGATCTTTTATGAAGATCAATTTGTCCATTTTATTGCCATCGATCAATTATGCAAATCATTA